AAAACAAAAAAACATCGGTGCTGTTTGGAAGAATATTATAGTACCTAGAATCTTTAGTAATGGCAGTATCTAAGATATTATCCAAAATGATGAGACACATGAAGAAACAGGAAACTATCATCCTAATTGAGATTGACTCCAAGATGACCCAGAGGTTGGATTTAGCTGAGAAGATTTAAAGCAACTACTGTAACTGCTGAAGGGTGTAAAGGAAAATAAGGTCATAATATGTGAATAAACTGGAAATCTCAGCAGAGAAATAGAAACTTAGAGAAAGTGAGATGAAAATTTTAGTCCTGAAACTATATCTGAGATTGAAAAATGGGTTAACAGGAATGATGGTGAACTTGAAGATAGGTAAATGGAAATGATCTTATCTGAAGCAGAAAGAGAAATTTGTGTGAAAGTTCTCTATAAACGTCAACACTCTGTATTAACATCAAGGATCAATGGGTTTCTTTCAAGGCCTAAACTCACCTCTTTCTTCTGCATATAGACTGACTTCATAGTTTGTAAACCAGTGCCATCTAAGAATACTCTGAGATTCTCTCTCCTTACCTCAATCATGTGCTTCCCACTATCAAATAAAAAGAGATCCTTTTTTTTCTCCATGGCTCACTGCTGCATTTATACTTTTGATTCTATTCTTTCCAGCTTCTAGAGACTCTACCCCTCTTCAGCCTGAAAGTCTTTGATCTGTAGTTCCCTCAATATCCTGTTCTATCTGTACCTATCCTCAGTGACCTCTGCTTTCTAACATTCTAACATCCCACTGCAATCAGATACTTTGCCCTTTCCCAGTTGAGAGAAACCTCTTGGTCAGCACACTTGGGGGGTGTTTGTAATAGGCCTCATCCCCATGTCTCTCAGCCACCCCTCCCATCAAGGTTCTTGCCTTTTCTTTCTTTCTTTCTTTCTTTCTTTTTTTTTTTAAGGTTCTTGCCTTTTCTCGTGTTGTGTTAGTTGCTGCGTTGTGTCTGACTCTTTGCGACCCTGTGGACTGTAGCCTGCCAGGCTCTTCTGTCCATGAGGTTCTCTAGGCAAGAATACTGGAGTGGGTTGCCATTCCCTTCAGAGGATCCATCTTTTCTTTACCTCCCTCAGTAACAATATATTTTCTTATTTCTCTTTGTCTAGTTGTATCCATGTTTCTCAAGGATCCATTTTTAGCTTTTTTCCTACTCTTTTCTTATTTTACTTGGCAATCCCATCCATTCCTGGTGACTTCAGCCCAGTGATTTCCGAGGACCTCCTCTCCAGTGCTGCCTGTTGCCTCCACTGGTAACTGACCATTTCTACTTAGGTGTCCTAGGGTGGACACCTCAGACTCCCTGTATCCACAGTGAAGCTTCTCTCTTCCCAAGCCAGTTTCTGTGTCTCTGGCATTCTGCTGTACCACCTGTGTTTCAGCACCTTGCACATGGCAGTCACTCTGCGAATAGGACGCCGAGGAATGAATGAATGCTTCCAGTTGCCCAAACTGGAATTCTGAAACTCACTTTTGACTTGATCTTCCCTGTGACTGACCACATCCAGTTCTCTGCCAGTGCTTGTCAGTTCTCCATCTGGTATATCTTCTTATATTCCTTTCTTCATTCCCACTGCCATTATCTGGATGTTACAAAAGACTGCTTGCTGGTCTTTATGGCTCCATGCCTTTTCCTTGTTAATCTTTTATATTTGTTGCTACTAGAGCAGTCTTGATTCTCAGGCCTAATGATGATGATTTTACTCATTCTGGGTTTTTTTTTTTCCCCTGCCTGGAATGCTATGTTCACCTTCTCCATTTTCATCTAAATCCAGTTCTAATGGCTTATTTCTCATTGGGTTTCCTGTCATTTATCTCCCCCTCATGCTGTCCAGTTGCTCTTATGGCACTTATCACTTTTGCTTCATGTCATAGTCACTCTGTTTTATGTTTTGTCTCCACTATTAGCTTATTGACTGCAACATCACTGTAATTTTTTTCTGTCCCTGTGCCTTGTACGGTGCATGCTTTCAAATACTTGCCTTTATTAAATTTCTCTTCACAAAGTATTTGTTTGATAAGTGAATTTAACTGTTATTCATAGACCATTAACCACAGATTTTTATATATGTGGCTTTTTAGTGTGTGCTATTTTCATTTCTACATAGTTCCATAGTTCACTATACTAATGCACTATTTATATACACCATATATATATATATATATATATATAGAGAGAGAGAGAGAGAGAGAGAGAGAGAAACTGTTGAAAATGTTTATGATCCAAGGGGGGTTTTTTGGAGACAATTTGTAAGACTGGTTTAAGATACTTCAAGCTTAACTATTTTATTGAATCTAAGACCTGTTTTTCACATATTGAAATATTCAATATAGAGTTTTTATTTGGTTTTTTAATCTCCTTATAAATTGGTGGTATTTTAGAATCAGGGAAATGTGGTAAATACAATAAATAATGACTTTTGATTAAATGGCCTTTTGGAACGATACCCACAACTTGGATTTTTGATTATGTTCTTAGAGGATAGGCTTAGGTCGCTGTAGTTTCTGTTATTTTAATTTCTTACTTTATTTCTGCTTAAAAGCTTTTAAATGAGATAAAAAGGGATATGGGTTTTGTTTCGTTACTTGAGGGAGGACCAGGGGAAACTATTATGTTTGAATTAGGAGAATTTTTTAAAGTAGTGTGTGAATATAGAGTTAAAAGCAGTTTTAGGATTCTTAAAGTATAATATTATTCATATAAAAACCTTCTTAAGGGATATATGGGACTTCCCTGGTGGGTTAGATGGTAAAGCGTCTGCCTACAATGCAGGAGACCCTGGGTTCAATCCCTGGGTTGGGAAGATCTCCTGGAGAAGGAAATGGCAACCCACTCCAGTATTCTTGCCTGGAAAATCCCACGGACGGAGGAACCTGATAGGCTACAGTCCACGGGGTCCCAAAGAGTCTGACATGACTGAACGACTTCACTTTCACTTTCAAGGGATATATGCATATGCAGTAGAAATGTGATAATGTACAGTAGAGTCATATACACTAAATCAAGATGGTGGTTGCCTTTGGAGGCAAGGAGTAGGGGGTGGGCAGGGGATAGAATGAGGGAGAAATGCAGTGGTTTTCTACCCTATTTGTGACTGTTTACTTTCTGTGCCCAGGGCCAGGTGCATGGGGGGGGTGGGTGCTTTGTTACATTGTTCTCTTTGTCTACTTATCTGAAATACTTCAGCAAATTCAAACAGGATAGTTCCCCCCCACCCTTAAGTCCCTGCTCTCTAGTTTCCTGGCAGAAAGGAAAGGGGTTTCTTTGAACTTCTCCAGACATGTGTACAGAAACAAGAATATATTTATGCATAAATTCTTACCCCACCTTTAAAAATAACGACTCTACCACTTTTTCATAAATAGTAGTCTTCTCTACACAATTTTACATTTTGCTCTTTTTTTACTTAGTATGTATTGGAGATTATTCCATATTAGTACATTAAATTCGTGGTTTTAACAAAAATAGCTTTAACCTTTTATCAGTAATAATTGCTTTAGTTTTTACCAGTTTTAAATGTTTATTTTGCTGTGTCACATTTGCTTAAGTAGCAGGAATCTGGGTTTCTCCCTGGTTCTTCTTTCCAGGTATTCCTCTGAGACTTCCCAGGGTGCTTGCTGACTGTTCCCTCTGCTCCTTGAGTTGGTGGTTGGTGTCTTTCTGGGAGGTGGAGAGGAGGACCCTGGGGGACTGGAGTCCAGTGCCCAGGTTTGAATCCCCAGCTCTGCATCTCAGTAGCAGCGTGATCTTGGATCAGTTAACTCTCTGTGCTGATTATTTCCTCACCTGTAAAATGGATTGATTATTTCCTTTCTCATAGAATTGTATTGAAAAGTAAATGAGTGAAAAATTCCTGACACACAGGAAACATTATAAACAGTTGATGATTTTTATTACCCATCACTAAGCATTTTGCATCCCAAGCTACTGCCAGTCTCGACAGCTAACCCTCCACTCTCATCACTGACCTCCTTAAGATTTTGATCTGTCTGGTTAGTGAGAAAGCTTCATTCTTTTTTTAGGACCTGCTCTTTTAGAGGAGGTTCTCCCAGACCCTAGTGATGCCGTTTATACCACAGCTGCCTTCTCTTTGAAGCACTAGGGCTCTCTGCATAGTTGAGGTGGAGAAGGTGGATGAAGGGGATGGCACAGCCTCCCGCTTTCAGGGCACCCTCAGATGTTCTTGCTGCTCTGCTCACACTAGGCTCTCCACCAGAATGCTTTTGCATGTTCTTCAGGAGGCAGGATTCCCCCCACCCCCCCGCCCCGAGACCAGTGGTCCCACCCAGCATTCTACTTCTTCGGGAACCTCCGTGCTTCTATGTGTCTGAGTCCAGTTAAGATCAGGGCTTAGGTTCTTCCCACTGGGCTCCAAGCCCCATGTGGCGTGACATCTATTTTAAGGGCCTCTGTGACTGATAAGTTTCCCAAACTTCATATGATAGGCGACCAGTGTCCCCTGAGTACACGGAGGACCCCTAAGGAGCAGGGACAGCTCTTGCCTAGCCAGGACACCCCGTCATGTTCCTAACATTTATAGTTGACATTTGAACAGTAGTTTCCATTGCAAGGTGCTTTTCATGTAACTTACCTCATCTGGCCCTGGGGCAAGGATCAGTACCTCGTTCACATTTTTGCCAGTGGGGAAACTGAGGACTAGAAACACTGTGGTCACATAGATAAAAAAGGACAGACTTCCTCTTTCACATCTTTGGCACCCACGGCAAGTCACTTGCTTACCAAGATTTTAAAAAGGCCATGTGTTAACATTTTCAGTAGGGTTGATATCAATTATCATAATGGGGTATTTAATGTTAGCTAAGTTTAGGGTTAGATTAACAGTACTGAAAACTATTGAGTAATTTCATTTAGATTTAGGTCTCCTGGTCCTCTGTAGGTTTGTGTGAACTATAGCCAATTTGGTAAATTAAAAATGTATATATATATTTTGTCCTTTTTCTCAGAGCCACAATGGACACAGCTAGCCATAGCCTTGTCCTTCTGCAGCAGCTGAACATGCAGCGAGAATTTGGTTTTCTGTGTGATTGCACCGTTGCTATTGGAGACGTCTACTTCAAAGCCCACAGAGCAGTGCTTGCTGCTTTTTCTAACTATTTCAAGATGATATTTATTCACCAAACAAGGTAAGGAGGTGCTTTTGTAAATCAGAAGAATTTTTAATACCGTGATATAGCTAAGCTTTATTATAACATCATTTTGGGTATTCTTTTTTTATGGGATCACCTTAGTAAATAATAAAAAAATTATCATTTTTTACACATCTGTAATTAAGCTCTGTATAGAATACATGGTGGAAGATAAGAATGAAAACAATAATAAGTAAAGTTTATTTATTTGTTTAATCCCATAACCAACCACTAAGCATGTATCTAATGTAAATTCTCCCGTTATCCATACTTTATTAGGGAAAAAGAAACTGTGATTGAGTTAAGTAACTTGTCCATCTAGGATTACATGCACAGCTAATAAGTGAAACTCAAATGCAAATCTGTGCTCTTAGTCACTAAGTTGTTGATTTCTTTCCTTAACATTTTCATAGCAAGATTTCAATGTCATAACTCCACCCACCTGGTGGGGGTGGTGGGGGAGCCCCGCCGATGGGCGGGGCAGTCGGTTCCACCCTTCTTTCCTCTGCGGGCTCCGCCTCTCCGCGGGCAGCGGTGTCCTTAGCCCCAGTTTCTGGCCGCGCCGCTGAATCCGACCCTGGGTCGAGTGGCGCTGTCCCCACGGAGAGTGGGCTGATATTCCGTATTGTAATTCAAAGGTCATTTGTTTCGAATATTTTTTCAAAAAAATATTTTTAATTTAGGTTAACTCAACATGGATAGGGAGAGGGGTGTAAAAGTGTATCCAGATTCTGAGTTCTTGGTAAAGAATAGCTTTAATGCATCTTCGGTTAAAAGTGATGGAACACTATGCTTTTTTAGAAGACCTTACTTTTGGTATTTCTTTGGCAGTCCAGTGGTTAAGACTCTATACTTCCCCTGCAGGTTCGATCTCTGGTCAGGGAACTAAGAGCACAGGCCAGGTGGCTTGGCCAAAAATAGAAAAAAAGACATTTATAGTCTAAGAGAGAGGTAATGCGTGTAAGGAAAATAATTGCAGTGTAATTGATCTCTTTGCGCCTCAGTTTCCTTCTCTGTAAAACACTAGAATAGTATATTCACTCCATGGTTTTGAGACGATTAAATGGATTAATCAATAATTAAAGTGTTTGCAACAGAGCTTTGCACTGTTAGCTGCTGCTATTAATAATTTCTGTGATGTCTATAGTCGAAGTGTTGCACAAAGTAGACTGGAGTGTCAGCAGACTTATTTTGAGAGGGCTAGAAAGGTTTTACAGAGACTCTGAATCTTAAAGGATCAGGAGGAGTTTTTCAGATGTTACAAAGGAATGCCAATAATTGCAATTATAGGTGGAGGAAATAAGTGCACAAAAACATATGCAGATATGAACCAGGCTAGCACATTCAAAAAATGGAGTAAATCAGAATGATTGGCATATATGATAAAAAGGGGAGAGGAGATGAGAGTCCAGGACAGGTCATGGGTAGCCTTTTCCATCACACACAAGTTTCCTCTCCAACTTAAGTGTCAATGTAGAAACTAGATTAGGAACGCTACCTTCACATCAGCCTCATTTGAGAGCAGTTAGTTGGTTTAGCTCTTAAAGCATCTGTTTTGTACCAGGCACCATGCTAGGCTAAATTCAGGAGATGCATAGGTAACAGGCCTGCTCTGTGATATTTCTGCTGAGTAACTAAAATTCCTCATTTAAAAGACCTCTGTGCTGATACTAAAAAAAAAAAAACCCTGCCAGAGACCATGGCAGTGAGTGGGTCAGAGGTAAGAGTGAAACCCAAGAGGGAATCCTAAAATATCAGGACTAAAGAAATGGATTGCTGGCATACAGACTGCTTTCTGATGTGTTGAGGCAAACTTTCGCTTCAGGGAAGGTATGTCCATCGACTGATTCCATTGTTCCTTGTTATCTAGCCTCTCCCTCAGGTTCTCTTTATCTTAATTTTATCAGTGTTTCCTGATTTCTTGTTACACAATTATTTCCATCTATCTTCTGAATTCTAGATTCATATGTGAAAAATTGGGCTTGAGACTAATTTAAAGCTTTTCAAAATCACACTTGTATTCATTTGTGATCTAAAGAGTAGATATATTAATATACTTGGAAGCCAAAATAAGGTGAGTATGATTTAAATTCTGTATGATACCAATTCCAATAAGCCCTTTGAAATTTTTAAATTATTTTTTATTGTGGCAAAATATATATAAACATAAAGTTTACCATTTTAACCATTAATTGTACAGTTCAAGGGCATGAATCATATCCACAGTGTTGTGTAACTATCACTATTACCTATTTCTAAAACTTTTCATCACCCCAGAAAGAAACTGTAACCATTACATAATAACCCCCCATCCTCTCCACTCTCAAGTTCCCGGTAACCTCTAATCTTATTTTCTGTCTCTGAATTTTCCAAATCTAGATGTTTCTTAGAAGTGGCATCATATAAAATTTGTCCCGTTGTGTCTGGCTTATTTCATTTAGCATGTTTTCAGGATTCATCCATGTTGTAGTACATATCAGAACCTGATTGCTTTTTATGGCTGAGTAATGTTCCACTGTATGTATATACTGCATTTTGTTTCTCCATTCATCTATTGATGGATAGTTGGGTGGTTTTCTGCTTTTGGTTAATGTAAAATGCCATTGGTTTGTGGATTTCCGTTTGACTCCTTGAATTCAGTTCTTTTGGTTATATTCCCAATAGACTGTTAAGTTCCTTAAGGGCAGGGTATCTGTTTTATTCATTTTTCTACCCCCTGCATGCAGTTTAAGTACATATCACTTAGGAGTCACTAAATGTTGAACTAATCAGAATATCTGTGTTTCTTAACTTTAGGCAGTAGATTGAATACATGAAGACTTGGTGCTGGGCCATAAAACTGGTATACAATGAAAATCTGAGCTTTTGTTACTGTGTTTCATCAAGGCAGATTGTTAAATTAGAAGTTAGGAAGAAACTGCTTTAGCCTAAGACTGTATGCTGTTAACTAAAAAGGCCAACTGGGTTGTTTCATTCTGTGTGGGTCTGTTTTTTTGTTTTTAACAGTGAATGCATAAAAATACAACCAACTGACATCCAGCCTGACATATTCAGCTATTTGTTGCACATTATGTACACGGGGAAAGGGCCAAAACAGATTGTGGACCATAGTCGTTTGGAGGAAGGGATTCGATTTCTTCACGCCGACTACCTTTCTCACATTGCAACTGAAATGAATCAAGTGTTCTCACCAGAGACTGTGCAGTCCTCAAATTTATATGGCATTCAGATCTCAACGACCCAAAAAACAGCTGTCAAACCAGGGCTGGAGGTCAAGGAAGCTCCTTCCAATAACAGTGGAAACAGAGCTGCTGTCCAGGGTGACCACCCCCAGTTGCAGCTCTCTCTTGCTATTGGGCTGGATGATGGCACTGCAGACCAGCAGAGGGCCCATCCTGCCTCCCAGGCCTTGGAGGAGCACCAGAAGCCCCCAGTGTCCATCAAGCAGGAGAGATGTGACCCAGAATCTGTGATCTCCCAGAGCCGCCCCTCACCTTCATCAGAGGTGACAGGCCCCACTTTCACCGAAAGCGGTATCAAAATACACTTATGCCATTACTGTGGGGAACGTTTTGATTCCCGTAGTAATCTAAGACAACATCTCCACACCCACGTGTCTGGATCCCTCCCATTTGGTGTCCCTGCTTCCATTCTGGAGAGTAATGACCTTGGTGAAGTGCATCCACTTAATGAAAATAGCGAGGCTCTTGAATGCCGCGGGCTCAGCTCCTTTATTGTCAAGGAGAATGAGCAGCAGCCCGACCTCTCAAACCGGGGTGCCACAGAGCCTTTGCAGATCAGTCAAGTGTCTTTGATCTCCAAAGACACCGAGCCAGTAGAATTAAACTGTAATTTTTCTTTTTCAAGGAAAAGAAAAATCAGCTGTACCATCTGTGGTCATAAGTTTCTCCGAAAGAGCCAATTGCTGGAGCACATGTACACACACAAAGGTAAATCTTACAGGTATAACCGGTGCCAAAGGTTTGGTAATGCATTAGCCCAGAGATTTCCGCCATATTGTGACAGCTGGTCTGACATCCCCCTGAAAAGTTCTCGTTTGTCGCAAGAACAGTTAGATTCATCTTGTGCCTTAGAGTCAGAACTCACACAAGAAAATGTGGACACGATCCTGGTTGAGTAGCAGTTTCTCCTTCAGAATTTTCATATCAATTCTGAAAAAGGAATTCCACATGTGTTTTTTTATTCATAAATTATTTTCGTCCTCAAGTTCTTTACCATTTGTCCATAGTTCTAAGGTTGTATATACTACATCTTTTTATTGTAAAGACCTATCAGTATATTGCTGCCAAAATGTAACCTTCCACTGGGGCTGTCTTTTCCTCAGCTAAATCACAATTTAGAAATGAGAAATCAATGTGGAAGTATGGAAATTTTTTCAGGTTGTAGAATCTGTAAAGGCAAACTGAATATGAAATAAGTGTAATCTTTTTTAAAGAATGTTCTAAACTATCACTTTTGGTTAATGTTCCACATGAATCAAGCCCCTGTGAGGATTATTTTAAAATATTTTCTGCCATATAGGAAATTAATAGTTATATTAGTATATAAATATATGTTATAATGTATAAAACATTTGTTTGAGGGCATAACTATACCAAATCATGAGTAGTTTTAAATTAGTGTTTATTTGCTAGTTGGGCAACATCTTGCATGCATGTGTGTGCATGCTCAGTCACTCAGACAGATACTGGGGTGTGATTCTTTGTGACCCCACAAAGTGTCTGACTGTGACCCCATGGACTGTAGCCTGCCAGGCTCCTCTGTCCATTGGATTATCCAGGCAAGAAAACTAAAGTGGGTTGCCATTATGTGACTTTATTTTATTTAACATTGAGCATACCTCATTTTCAATAAAAAATATTTTATTTAAAGAGAGAAAAAGAGAAGAGTCAGAAACACACAAAAAGTTAAGAGAGTCAGTAAGATACATACATGTAGGTAAGCATAGATGCCTCCAGTGTTAGAGACAGCAGTTCAGACACATCTGTGTGGACTGATACCCTGGTGGTGGTACCTTAATCTAGTGTTTTCTTAAAGAACTTAAGAGCAGTTTGAGATTTTTATGACAAGAGGTTTATATGAGCTTAAGAGGAAAATGATAGAATACAAATTATCTTTCTATCCATAGTATCAGAAGATTTTATAGGCTGCTTGAGTTGACATTAATTTTCTAACAAAAACCTGAAAAGGTACTTTTTCAGTGGCAGTTTTCACTTTTTTTCTGGTACATAAAACCAGCAGAGTAGATATAGTCATTGTACTAGAACTATGTTTAAAAATCATGACCAGCCTTCCCTCTGTGAGTCAACTTAACTCCCCTTTCTAATAGTGAAACTTAAGAAGCTAAAACTCCAGAAAAATTAAAATTGATGGACCAAATGGCAGATTTTCCTGCTGTGTGTAGCTGGGAAAAAGCTGGTCAAACTTCACCATAGAGGATACATCTAAATTGTTTCTGATACGTTTAAATTTTAAATACTAGATAGTCAAGAATAACCAAAGAGAGAGGCTTTAGAACACCCTCGTCTTTTTTGTATGTTGCCCTGTTAAATTCTAACTCTCACAAGTATTTTAGTAAATTTAATAAATTTGGTTTCTACAACTTAGAATTTAACTGCATACAAAAACTCTGATCTCCCTGATGACTACACACTTGACAGTTCCTGACATCAGAGCTCCTTAAGTATCTGAGTTTAGTCAGGAGGGGGCGCAGAGAGAAATCCATCTCATTTTAAGGGTGCAAGGATTTCTCTGAGTTATCAGTGAGTTTAGGTAGATTATGAAATGGTAAGTTTTTCTTAGGAAGTGGATGAAGAAAACCAATGGGCATTATCTAAGGTGGTTGAACTTCTGTCCTAGACAAGGATGTGAAGCCTCGTGGGGTCAGGATTAACATGCTAAGAGCAAAATCTAAGTAGCTATTGATACAAAGTCAGTTGTATCAGTCAGTAGTTAAAACAAATGTATTGCTCTTTAGTATCAGAACTTCATCTAATCATATTCTTAAATCATTTCAGCAATTATTCAAACTTACACTGTCCTCAGTGACTTCATCACATAAAGTGAACACAAATATTAACATTGATTTCATGTACCTTAGGCTATTCTGGATATATTCCCTAGCCTCCTTCAAGTAAAATTTTATTTTTTCTTGTTTAGATAAAAATTTTCTTGATTTTTCTGTTCTGTTTTCTTTCCTACTTGCTCAGTCATTAGTCCTTGATCCAAAAAGTGTATGTAGCTTAAAGGGTGGGATTTGGTGTGCATATGAGTTGTGGGTAGGACAGCAGTTCAAGGCAGAGTCTGGATGAGGCAGGAGTTTGCTTTTGGCTGACTGTCCATAATAGACAATGTTAACTTAAAGCAGACATTTATCTACTTTGTTGAGTGTTAAGAAAGGAGTGATTAATTGTATTTTTATTCTTATTCATAAGGTTCCTTTTAATATTAGGAATTCAAAGCAAGTGTTCTTTCCTTCATCTTCATAGTATTCTGTCTGTATTAGGAAGTGGGAAAATGAATACTCCATTTTATAGGAAAAAATCCCCAAATCTGGGTTCCAGAGAGCCAGTGAGTAGTGGTGTGGGGAATGATTCCAGTTTTATCTTTTTCATTTGTTCAACAGGAATATTTTAAAAATTATTTTATAACTAATATTGTGCCATGAGTATTTTTAAAGACATGATTCCTAAGAAAATCTACCTTGTATAAAAAAGTTCCTCCAGCTAAAGGCTTTAATTTTGACTACATCATTTATAAAATGGAGCTGTTATGTTAGCCATATAGTATGGTCTGCATAATGATTGTCAAACTCTTAAAACTGGAAATGCTGCGTGCACCTTAGTGTATCAGGCAAGTACTAAACAGACATTTCCCCTTTGGATCAGCTTAGAATTTTCCCTTTTTTCTAGATACCACATATAGTTGTTTTCTGGAGGAAAACAGACTGTTGCAGTATTTGTTCTTGTTAGCGTATTGTTAAACTCGGTATCTGATAATTGTAGTCTGCCTTATAAGAAAACCAACATTTCTGGATTTATCTCTTGAAATTGTTATTTTTCTCTGAATTATTATTCACTTTCCCATCTGTAAAGTGTGTGAAAGCAATCCCTACCTCACAGGGGTGTTGTGAGGATTTGTTTTAAAATTGTGGTAAGTTATATCAGTATTATTGATAAAAACCAACCATATAGGGACTTCTCCAGTGGTCCAGTGGTTAAGACTTCACTTCCCAACGCAGGGGGTGCCGGTTCAGTCCTTGGTCAGGGAGTTAAGATCCCACATACCTCATGGGTCAAGAAACCAGAACATAAAAACAGAAGCTGTATTGTAATGAATTCAATAAAGATTTTAAAAAAAAAAAACCAACCATATAAAGAAAACTACATTCTGCATTTTTTATGTAGCTAAACCTTTAACTTTAATATTCCAACTCATAAATTCTAGAATGTCTTCAGAAGCAGTCATGTGCTACTTAATACTCAATAATTAATTGGCAAAATTTTTACTTTTTACAAATATTCTAGAAACAGCAGAGTTGCTAGAATTCCTATTCTACCTTAGTTTAATCATAAGTATTTCTCTTTAGCCTTTAACAAGAAAGATAGTAATTCTTTGGCATTATTGGGAATGAAAACTTTCCAAGTTCAATGTTATTGAAAGTTCCCCCAAACATTGTTTACATATAGGAAAAGGAACAAAAGCAGTGGAGAAAATACCATTTTCATTTCTTTGATGTAGATCATTTACAAAGTAGATAGAGACAAGAAATAGAGTAGGGTTAATAATATAGTAATTTATTATGTTCTATCAAAATAGTATTGGAAAAGGCTTCACTTAAAACTGAAGGAAATACTTATTAACATGGAAAAAGATAGTCTGGAAAATGTATAATTCCATTGATGTTTATTTGCTCAGGTGAATTCTTGATGTTGTAACTCAGATCCTTGACAAGTATCCATTTTTTGTCTAACTGAGGTAAAAAATAGGCCATGTGAAGAAATTTCATAAGGTAACTTGTATCTTTGTATGTTTTAAACTAAATGTAGCTCTGTGGTATTTTATTATAATTAATTTTTAAATTCCTAAGAATGAAATCTGTAAATTATTATTCTTTGCTGTACTTGTGTATTTGTATACTTGAACTTTCTGAAGACTGGTGAGATTATACAGTCCTTAGCCTGTCTGTCTTAAATGTAAGGAGTTACAAACTGTGATTTTTGTCTTCAAGACCTGTAGGACCCTTTGTGCTTCAGCGTGTATCTGTCCACACTTGATTACTTAGTAGATACTGTTCCAGTGCGATTGATGGACTGTCATCAACTCTTCTATTTTGTGCCAAATAGTCATCTAGTCAGATTAAATCAAATATCAACTTAAAATGCTTTCAAAGAAACTTGGATTTCAAAAACTTAAACCAAAAAAAAGGAAAAGGGAAATTTCCTGGTTATCCAGTAGTTAGGACTCCGCTTTCACTGCTGAGGGCCTGGGCTTGATCCCTGGTTGGGGAAACTAAGATCCCACAGGCTATGTGGCACAGGCAAAAAACCCCCAAAAACAAACAAACAAAAAAAACCCCAAGACCTGTACAATGAAAAAGGCCCCCTGAAGAAATCTTCAAAGTACTACTAACACATAGTAACATATAATACAAGAGACTGAAATCAATAATACATTGTATGCTTAAACTCTTCCACCTAACGTACTGTGAGTTTGCTTCAGAAATATTCTTTCAGAAAGTTTTGTATTCTCCATTTGGAATGAAAACAGTGAATTTCATATATTTTATCATGACAAATTAATGTGGCTTGATCATAACAAAACTTTTTATTAGCTCAGCTTATAGAATATGTTCTTATTTTACAGCAGTGTCTGCCAAATGTTGTCTTCCTAGTGTTGAGGTAAGTAGTCTCTATCAGGTAACATTTTGGATGTGTGATGCAAAAATGCATCAGTGGGTCCAGTTCTTATCAACCATAATCTGTGTTAATAGAAAAGTGGTGCCCTCATCAAGTGCTTCCCAACTGCCATCTCTGGAAAGAAAGGTAGTATCTAGTACTTTCCTGGAAGTTTCTTGCTTTGCTCCTTTCTCTCTTCCCTTTTTACTATCCCTCCAGTAGC